TGCAATGTGTGCATTTAATCGTCTCGGCCGCGCGAGAAGTCACTTCCAGACGCAGATACAGTAGAGAAGTTATCTGGCCAGCCGACAAGTGCCTAACAGCTTTCGGTTCTACAGTAGATTGCATATCGGATGAAATGTGAAGATCAAGATTTGAGTAAGGGATTTGGCACACAGGTTGGAGATTGCTTATACTGCCCACTGAGTTGACTTTAGGCGAAAATGATATTTACTAAAAAGACTTAAGTTCAGCTCAGTACACTGAATTGACTTAGGGTATGTTAATCCTCGATTCCTATTTTTGGACGTTCATTTATCTTGGCACTCCGTTGACATGTTTGGGTGAATCAGGTGCTATGATACAAACAGACATCAGCATAAGAAAGAAGGTATAAAAACGCAACATTTACGTAAATGCTTCTAATAAGTACGTAATTTTGAAGTTTTTGGTAAACACGTAGAATAAAATCAGTATCTGGGGGAAAATCGAATAAAACCACTGAAATTCGTAAAATGTTAAGTAGAATTACAAGGAAAGCACTGAAGCTTGTCGTATTCGAACTCTCAAAATAATTATAAAAAATGCGACTGAAATAAATTTCTCTCAGTGTACACCAGGTGGTATGTTTACGACTGCAGCTAAAAAATAAATTTAAATCAAGTAGCCACTGACCGTCGTGTCTTCATGTCAGCTTGCGATACACCTTACTTCTGTAACATCCCAATTGGCAAACTCAACTGGAAATCTAGTTGCCTAAGTTCAACGCATCTCAAAGACTACAGGAATATAGGAACAACTGCAAATTGCTATAAAAGCATCTTCTATTACGAACTGGAACTTTGCATTGCATCTAAGATGGAAGCATGTGTAGAAAAAAGGCCGGTCGGAAAATGGAGATTTACTCATGAATGTTTCAGCTGGTGACACTAGCTCTTCGTCAGAGGGAATGAAAGTGAGGGCTGGGATTGTCGCACTAGAGGGTTTTGGGGCAGCGGTCGCATTGAACAGGGATGAAGATGCGGGGTAATGGGGTAGGGTGACGTGAATACTACTGCGATAGGCGTTGCCAGTGCGAGGGGGGTGTAAACGTCTCGATTATGAGCCACGTGTTCGGGATTGTTGCAGAATCAGCGAAGTTCCACTTGGCCGAACAAGGACCGACTGTTGTTATTTCAAGCGGGACGCAAGTTTGTCGATCATGCGCGCAAACATAGAAGCATATGAATCAAAAACTTTCACAAAAGGATAATTTTCATGCGCAATTCTACTTGTGCTGTTTTCTGCCTTCCTTTTATTGCATGAACACACTTCATGTATCTGCAAAACATAGACTTGCTTCCATTTCTCACTTTTTCGGAAATGACCGGTTTTTCTTAAATAACTGTCATTTATAGACAAGGTAATATTACTTGATAAAACCCACAACTTAGCGGTTAGAGCGTTGACCGCCGGTAAAGGCCTTCTCTGATACGCGGATTCAAATCCCACCAAACGCCTCGATTTTTTTCACAATTGGGTCAACTAAAACTCAAAACCCACAACATATATTTTTTTATTAAAATGTTTACCGCTGTGAAATTTTGGTGGCTGCCGCTTGGGCCGAATTTGTATAACAGGGCTTTTTGTAAAAAAAACC